CAAACACACACTCAAACCCACACACACACACACACACTCAAACAAACACACACTCAAACCCACACACACACACACACACTCAAACCCACACACACACACACACACTCAAACCCACACACACACACACACACTCAAACCCACACACACACACACACACTCAAACCCACACACACTCAAACCCACACACACACACACAAACTCACACTCAAACCCACACACACACTCACTCAAGCTTATTTACCAAGTATGTTTACACAAACAAGGAATTTGACTTGGCGACAAAATATGGACATAGTGGAGACATACACAGGAATTACACAGTAGAGATGGAATATAACACTAATATAAGAAAAACAGAAAATTAAATCGCGCACTATATAAAGAAGTAAAGTGAATTACGAGATACAAACTCAGAATTGCGAGATATAAACTCAACTGTGAGATATGAACTCAGAATTATGAGATATAAATTCAGAGTTGAGAAATACAAAGTTTGAATTGTGAGAGAAATGTCACTTTTTTTTTACTTTTTTTATTCAGTGTTGGAAACAAGCTTCGATACAAAACAATATGACTTCCTGTAGAGCTGCATTGAAATGATGCATATTCTGAAAAGCGCTTTACAAATAAATTTAATTTGATTTGACTGTTTCTAATGAATCTGTAGGCAGTGAATTCTGTTTAAAATTCAATTAGCAAAGAACTAGTATTTTATTGTGAAGGCAGTGAGTGAATTTTTGACATCATTCACACACGCAGTACTACCTCGACGCTCCCTCCGGCGATCTGAAGTCCTTCTGCGCCACTCTATTATCACAAGATCGAAAGAATAAAAATACTCTGAATTACGGCGGTCCGCAGTCACCAATCACAGATCACAATCTCAACTATTACAAACATCCCGAGCGGACGGCGCAATGATTTCCAACCTCCACGGCCGAAACAGTGTTTTTCTATAATATCAGGTTTCTAGGAACAGCTAACCAAAATAACATATTTCATATCGACTAACATTGACCTTGGACACAAAGCAGATTTAGCTGTGGAGCGCAAGCGTGTGTTAGGAGAGTCCTGAAGGACGACGGGAGGCTGCACGCCACAGTTACACCAAAACCGGTCTGAAACCAACAGCAGCATGAGTGCAAAAACAATAAAGAGCCACACAGACCCACAGAGCTTCAGACAGACAGATGCTTTAAAGTAGCATATAAACATCACTTACAGTAGCAGCCTACTACGGTACACACCAAATCACCAGTGTATTTCAGCACAAACACAAACAAACCTCCCACAGCAGGTTTAGTGCTGCTCCACACAGATCGAGTCAGCATTTTCTATGAGCTCTGTCGAGTTACATACAACGATACAATCACTTAAGAACAAGTTTCTTATTTGTAATGAGACCAACAACTATATATATATAGAGAGAGAGAGAGAGAGAGAGAGAGAGAGAGAGAGATTTTATATTTTCACATTATCAATTACATATGTGATATATTACCTTTAATATATAAATTATTTAATATATAATAAAACATTATATAAAATATTGTGCATTTAGCTGATGCTTTTATCCAAAGTAACTTATGGTAAGAACACTTCATTTCCCAGAATGCATTCAAATGATTGAAATCCTTACCTATTGCTTTTTAGTAAATTGCTCATTCTGTCGATACAAAATCGAATTCAGCGTTCTGTTTGTTTGTAGCTCACTTTAGCATTTAAAAGAGTGGTACAGTCACAGTGAAGTCTCAGATCCGACCTGCAAATTACAATCAGTCCTAACGATGTGGGCGTGTTTGTAGCATTAGCTGATTTGCATAATTCCATTAGTGAACCAGGTGCTCGAACAACACAGATGCAGCAAAGCGTGCAAATAGAAGCCGCTGCTTCATTCTGAGCGAATCCCTCACTGTTTATTTCACAGATGAAGCGGGTCGCTGCTACACGATCATCAATATCCATCTAAACGAGTGTGAAAACAGACACGCTCTCAGCTCCACGGCCCTTCAGGGGCCCCGTTAACACACGTTCACCAGATCAGACAGAAGCTGTTTTATGATATTTAGGAAAGCTAGCGGAGAGACGCTTTAAATAACCCCAGCGTTCAGCGGCCGGTGAGAGAGAGGCAGAGGCGATGCACCGCTAATGTATCTTTGGCAGACGCACTGTTTTCCTTTCTTAACATTTTTAGACAGTCGACACTCCAGACGCACTCAGACACATTCTTGGGTTTTCTGCACAGCACAGACAGATTCATTAGTGTATCCGAGTACAATTCATTTACTGCTCCATCTGAGGCATGCCGAGCAAAACCTCTACGTGACTGACCGCAAACACTGAGATAAAACAATCAACAACAGCCTCTGCAAGATGATAAAAGTACAACGTGATGCATTTCGAAAGGGTTCAAAGGAGCAGTTCACTCACAGGTCGTTCCAAACTGTACAAACTGTGTTACACACATTCTTTTTTATCTAGAAAAACAATGTTGAAAGGTCTTGAAATTGTATTTTATTTTGCACAACGACCAGAAGGAAATGCTGCTAATTAAAATAGTAATTAAAAATGGGGTCAGTAAGATTTTTTATTTATTTGAATTCATTTTTTATTTATTTATTTTTTGGAAGAAATTAGTCATTTTATTCAGCAACGATGCATTAAATTGATCAAAGGTGATTCTTATTAAGTATTTCCGTCTGGTTTTCCAGTACAAATATCTAAACATTACTAAATCAACTTGTTTTCTGAAAAAAACTAACAAAAAATAAATTAAAGCAAACTTAACTTAAAGCAAAAACAAATATCTGCCAATAAATGGAGTCAGAAAAATTCACTAAATTCAAAGGGAAAACAAGTTTATTTTTCTGACCCCACTGACAGATATTTGTTTTAAGCAAAAACTCATTTCATTTTGATGCATTTCTCAGGAGACAAGACTTAATATCTTATGTCATTTTGCCTTATCCAATAAATGTATTTTGATTTAATAATGTTTAAACATTTGTATTGGAAAGCAAAAATATTAAATAAAACTTTTTTGCAGTGTATAATGTTACAAAAGATTTATATTTCAAATAAATGCTGTTCTTTTGAACTTTCTATTCATCTGTGAATCCCGAAGTTTCCACAAAAATATTGTGCAGCACGACTGTTTTCAACATTGATAATAATCAGAAATGTTTCTCGAGCAGCAGATCAGCATATTATACTGATTTCTGAAGATCATGTGACACTGAAGACTGGAGTAATGATGCTGAAAATACAGCTGCGCATCACAGAAATACAGTACAGTTTAACAGATATTAACAGAGAAAACAGCTGTTTGAAACTGTAATAATATTTTACTTAATCAGATTAATCAGATAAATGCGGATTTGGTGAGCAGACGAGACTTACGTAAAAAAAACATTAAAAAAAATTCTTACCAACCCTAAACTTTTGTATGTGCACTCAATTTTTATATTTCCTAAACATTTCGGAACAACATGAAGGTGAGTAAATGAAGAACTTTATATTGTATTACACTCAGATTTCATCAACAGAACTGTGTCATCATCTAACGAGAGGAAATCTGCACTGATTTCTGTGAAACCAGAGGAAGCATCACACACTGACATAACCGACCTCTTGCTTCTTAATATCAGAGCTTATGCAAAACTCACAATGTGTTTTCTCACTGTCTCAGGCTGAAGTACAGTATGAGACTCAGTTATTTCCATCTGTTACTCCACTGCCCTGCAGGTCTTCAGACTGTCAATTCACATTAATGATGACATTTTATGTGTTTTGACGGACGTCCTTCAGTGACTCTCTCTCCAAAAACTACACACTGAACATCAAGAGAGTGATGTGAAATATTGATGAAGAAGCAGCGCTGAGTTCAATGAGAGACCGGACTGAAAACTGCAGCGATGCACTGATGGAGTATTGCACTCCATCAGACATCAGTGCTGTTTGTCTTACTGTAATATATGTTAAAATGCCATTTATTTCTGTAATCAAAGCTGAATATTTAGTATCATTACTCCAGTTGAGCGTGTAGGACTTGATAGTACAATCCCTTAGAATAATCAGCACTTTGTTGACATCTTGAGTGGAGAGTAGGGGTAATCACTTAATTGGGGTCATCCGGTGGGCACCCTCCTTCCTCTGTGTTTCGTTGATAGGCCCATGACACCTCCAAAGGGCTCAACAACAACACCTGGCATCTCAGGTGCGCTCCCCTCTGCTTTTACCCCTCTAGGTCATTTTGCAGCCCATTTGGGATCCTTCCTTTTTAGCCACAGCCAGTTGCTGCTTCGCTCAGCAGCCTCTGACAGCGACCTAATGGCTTGTCATAAGGCCTGTCCTCTGACTCCCAACCCCTTCAGTAGCCTGGTTGCTAAAAAACCTCTGCACCCAACCTCTACGGGGAACAATCATGTTCGCCAGCCCAGTTGTACTGCTTCGGTTAATAGGTCTGAATCTTTCAGCCTTTTACGTTTATTTGCTTCACCAATTGCAGCCACCCATGGCACAGTTAGTTCCACGATGAACAAGGACTTTTGTGAGGTTGAACACAGTATTAGATCTGGCCTGAGGTTAGTTGTAATTATCTCAGGTGGAAAGCTGAGCTTCTGGTCCAGATCAACCTGCATTTTCCAGTCCCGGGCAGTGTCCAGGTTGTTTCCATTTTTGTAGTTAGCTTTACTGGAAGCTGTCCTGCTTTTACGAAGGCGGTGTCTTTTGAGAATGCTGGCATTGGAGGGAGGGAGGGCAATGGTGGTGATTCTCCTTCCCATCTAGGATAATCGCCAGGTGTCTCAGAACCTGATTGTGCCTCCAGGTGTAACGTCCTTGGGAATGACTGGTTTTGCAGCCAACGAGGATGTGCCTTAGCGTTGCTGGGGTTTGACAGAGAGGACATGATTGATCTTCTCCAATCCACTGGTTTAGGTTATTGGGTGTGGGGAGAACACCGTAGGTGGCTCTGATGATGAAGCTCAATCGGCTTCGTTCCATCTCCCAAAGATCCTTCCAGGTGAGTTTACGTTGGTCCAGATTTTCCCAATTAGTCCACTGTCCCTGTTTGGACTGCAAGACAACCTTTGTGCATCTCTCTGCCTCCTCTTGCTGCCGGACCTCGGCTACTATCAGTTTACTCCTCTGGACGGATGTTGCTTTGTACCATATGGGTCGGCTTGTCCCCTCTTCCCTGCTGCACCTGTCCTACAATGTCTCCATGCCTGAGAGCGGATTTTGCCTGCTGTATGGCCTCAGTCGGGGTCCACTTGTATTATAGCATCTTGAGACTCGGTCAGGTTCAGTCTCACTTTGGTGCACTTGTACTCTTCAATGAGGCTAGAGACAGGCAGTTCCAGGGCACTTTTCCCATACAGGCCGGTATTGCTGAGGCATCGTGGGAGTCCAAGCCACTTCTTGATATAAGAACTGACTGTTCTCTCCAGCTTCTCGATTTTGGTAATGGAGACCACGTAGACTGTTAGAGGACACATTAGACGAGGGAGCAATCTGAATTGAAGGCACCACAGTTTCAGCTTGCCTGGAATCAAGGAATTATTTATACTGTCAAGGCCTTTAATGGTTTCTTCCCTCAGTTGGTCACTCTGATATGAGTCCTTGAGGCTTGCATTGTACCATCGCCCTAAGCTCTTGACTGGCATCTCCAACAGCGTTGGAATGGGTTTCATCGATGTGAATTCTCTGGTCTACAAGTTTCTCTCTGACAATGGATATGCTTCTAGATTTACTGGGTTTTAACTTCATACGCACCCATGTTATGTTGGTATGAAGCTTTGCCAGTAGACATTTGGTACATGCAATGGTTGAGATCAGGGTGGTCATGTCATCCATGTATGCACGAATAGGAGGAAGACGCTGTCCAGACTGCAGACGTTCTCCTCCTTCTACCCATTTGGAAGCTCGAATGATCAAGTAAAGGCTAGGGGGGAGATGGTACACCCTGCCATTATTCCCACTTCCAATGATTGCCACGATGTTGTATACTTTGTTGTATACTCTGTTGTTGTAAGGCAGAATTGCAGAGCTTTGAAGTAGTTTCTGACCAGTTGTGTAATGGTCATTGGCACTAGGAAGAACTCAAAGGCCATCCATAGGATAGAATGGGGGACGGATCCAAAAGCATTGGCCAAGCCCAGGAATAAGACATGCAGATCTCTTCCTTCCCTTTTTGCAGTCTGGATTTGATGCCATATCGTACTAGTATGTTCTAAGCATCCCGAGAAGCCTGGTATACCAGCTTTCTGTATCGATGTATCAATCAAGTTTTTCTGCTTCAGGTATGTTGTCATCCTTTGAGCAACATTGCTAAAGAAGATCTTTCCTTCAACATTCAAAGAGATTGATTTGTCGAAATTGGTTGATGCTCGAGGCATCCATTTCCTTTGGGATTAGCACTCCCCCTGCTCTACGCCATGTTTTTTGGATAGTTTGCTTTTTCTAAACCACTTTAATTTGCCTCCACAGGAACCGAAGAACCTCTGGAGCATTCTTATACTTGTACAGCCAGTATGGAACTTTGTTTGGTCCGGGAGCTGAAGATGCCCTTGATTTTCTCACAGTTTTCTCAACCACATCCAATTGATGTTCTGGCTGAGGAATGGGTGGCATGTCTGGTGGTATCACCCTCTGCTCATATCTCTGGCTGTCTGTGTGTGTTGCTTTCAGGTGGTCCTCCAGCTCCTTCTTTG